TCCTGCATCCTTTGTTTCCTGTATGCTAGCCCTGGGCCCGCCACATAGTAGATACTCAGAACACATTTGATCACCCACCGCCCCCACGCAGCGCCCGGCCCATGGTGAGACCCAGGGAGGTCTGAGCGGTTGGAGCGATGTGAGCCTTTAATGGTGCTCTGTTCCTGCGCAGGCTTGGCCTTTCTGTGGGGACTCCTGATCTTCCTGAAATATCGGTGGCGCAAGTTAGAAGAGGAGGAGCAGGCCATGTATGAGATGGTGAAGAAGATTATAGGTGTGTGGCCCGGGGGAAGGCTGCCGGCCTCCGCCAGGAGTCCTGGCCCTAACCTGTGCCCTCTGTCCTGCAGATGTGGTCCAGGACCACTACGTGGACTGGGAGCAGGACATGGAGCGCTACCCGTACGTGGGCATCCTGCACGTGCGCGACACACTCATCCCTCCGCAGAGCCGGTGAGTCCAGGGTCTGCCCCACCCAGTGCCTCGTGTCAGCGGCCAGGATCCCAGGTGCGGGCACCGTCCATGCCCCCGCTCCAGTGCCCGCTCCTCCAGTGCTCGGCATTTGTGGGAGAACACTCGGACGGTGTAGAAGCACGTCCCTCTCCTGTGGAGGGCAGCACCGTTAGGCTGATGGGTGGGTGCCTGGGGCAGCAGTGCTAGGACCGCCCCTGCCCCAGGGGCTCAGATAGGGAAGGTGGATTCTCTGGTCTTGCCCTCCCTGAATGCTGTCGGCTGGAGTTCCTCACGGTCACAGGGTGCTGGCCAGCAGCAGCGTCTGCCTCGTCCCAGCCAGCAGGGGAGGGGCTTCCTGATCTCACGAGCAAGGGAAAACCTTCCCCAAAGCCGCCAGTGGCCACTCCCCGAGGCCCCGCTGCCCAGAACTGGTGACTTACTGTCCCTGAGGCCTCACTGGCCACTCCCCGAGGCCCCGCTGCCCAGAACTGGTGACATACTGTCCCTGAGGCCTCCCTGGCCAGGAGGAGGAGACTGTTCTCCACATGTCTGACTGTGACCCACAGTCAGGCACACTCATTATCTAAAACAGGATGGTCCGGCTCCCACCCGTGCGCACGTGCTTGCGTACAGTTGAAAGCAAAGTTTCAGGGCACGGGCTGCATGGGAGGGATGGCAGGCTTGTCACACTTGACACCAGGGCCACCTTCCACAGAAAACGGAGAACACGGCTGCTGGCAGGGCCTGTGGCGGAGGCTGGCGTGCGTTCACTCAGCAGGCTTTGGTTGGCACCTGCGGCCGTCCCCACCGTCCGGGTCAGGGCAAGGGGCGAGGGGCGGGGAGGGGGCGTCGGTTCTGAGGAGGACGTGGGAAGGTGCATGAGGAGAGTGTGTACTGTGGGCGGTGACTCCCAGGAGAAGGAGCGGGTGTCGGGAGGCGGCCTCCTAGCCCACGAGGTCGCTGGCGCACTGGGGCAGCAGCACTGCTTGGGCTTTAACTGCAAACACACTTCACTGAAACGGGCGCAGGAAGTGGCATTGCAGTCCCGGCCCAGCCCCCGCGCCCCAGGCCCTGTGGTCAGCGAGGCCCCGGGCGCCACCCCAGGGTCCAGGGGACC